ATAGATAAATCATTTAATCCAGAAATTCTACCAGAATTAGGAATCAGTCTTGTAACTCTGCTCACCTACAAAAGTGTGTGCAAAGGTGTGAACCAGGACGGTCACTGCACCTGCTTGAAGCAGCAGTCAGCAGGGCTGATTACGGTCAGCTACCACAGAGAACAGAATATACTAAAAGGGAGCTTGCAGCATCCTCCATTGGTGGTGACACCCAAGTGCAGAGCTGTGTGCCATCACTTTGGGGTGGACAGCAATGACAGGTGCACTTGCTACTGCACACATGGGCCATCTCTGGGGCCATGCCAAGACTGGTCAGCAGTAGTTGTCCCCAGGGAGAGGATCAAGAAATTGGACAGGGTAGGAAGAAGCCTTAGCTTTTCGCTCTTTCAACTGGTTGTTTTGTTTTGACCTTGTTTTTGTATTACCTTTTTAGGAAAGAAAAGCCAAAACAAACAAAAAATGTTTTTTTAAATAGTGCCAAGCTCATACCTGCTGATTGGAGTATAGATTGGTACAGGCTTCCTGTGGGACAGCTCAGCAGTAAGATTCAGGACATAAATGTGCATGCCTGTTGGCCCAGTAGTTCTTGTTTTTAGGATTTAGTCAAATTAAGTGTCAGAGATACATCAAAAGATTCATGTACAAAGATATTTCCCCAAATAAATCACTTTTTTTAAAAAAGAATTATTTAATTTTTTAAATGAGTATTTTTTTCTTTTTAATTTGCCATAGGGCATATGTACCCACTAGGGCAACAGAGGGGGCAGGGGTGGGAGTGAGAAAGTAAGCCACCAGGTCCAGGACTCAAACTGCAGTTGCCCACACATGAGTCCAGTGTCTTAACCACCACGCCACCTGCTGGCCCAGCAAAGATATTTTTCATAGTGTTAACTATAGGGAAGTTGGAAACAATTGGGTAGGAAAGTTCTGTTACAGTGTTATATTCCAGGTAGCTGTTTAAACTCACACTTAGATTCTAGTGCTCTTCTAGGGCAGTGCTGAGCAGTGAAATGTTCCTCAGGCTGCTCTATCTTTGTGCCATTGGCCCTATATGGCTCTGGGGCACCTGAAATATGATCACTGTCTAAGCAGACATGTTCATCGTATTTAAGTTTCATTGAGTTAAATGTAAATAGTCCTATGAGGCTAGCAGGTATCATAATAAAAAGTGCAACTCTAGAGTCTAGAACAAGAAATCACAAACTTTTTCTGTAGAAGGCCAAATTATATTTTAGTTCTGCACACCATATAATATCTACCACAGTTCTTCAGCCCTTTATAATGAAAAGGCTGCCATAGTCGGGTTTTGGTTGTGTCTCAATAGAACTTTTTATTTATAAAAACAGGCAAAAGGCCAGATTTGGTGGTGAGCCATAGTTTGTTGACCCAGGTCTACACGAATATTGTATTTGCTTTTTTTTTTTTTTTTTTTTGAAGAGGTTTTTGCTATAGGGCACATGCACTCACCAGAAAGTCAGAAAGACAGAAAGCGAAAAATCACACCTGGGGGGGATGGCCATGCTGCAATTCTGTCTCCTCCATTCTCCTCTCGGGATCTTGGGCACACACGCACACATGTGCAACGTGAGTTTAAGCCATCGAGTCCAGGACTCAAACTGTGTTCGACTACATAGGAATCCAGCGACATAGCCATTAAGCCAACTGTTGGTCCCTATATTTGCTTTTTTAAGTATAGAAAATTAGGCTTTAGAACCATATGCATCTATGGGCCAGAATTCCTGTGGAAATACCTCTCTAGGCCCATATGTCCACAAAGTGTGTAGGTCTACCTAGATCCACTTGGCTGCTCTTGGTCATGCATTTTCCTCATTTTAATAGACTTTTTCTCAGTAGGTATGTCATCAGGAGGAAATGTATATGTATCCTTTGAGTTTTTGTTTGATTTTTACAAAATTATGACAAGCTCATTTGAGCAGCCAACAGAATTTGAATCATTTGGAACTAATTCTCTAGTGTAACATAAAAATACAAAAGTAACAGGAATAAAAGTTAGAAATGAGGTCTTATGGTACAAGCCATTCTTTTTGTTAAAACATACTCTAATTCAGATATGTCATAATTTCATTTATTTCTTTAGAGTTTTTTTTTCTTTTGTGGAGAGTATTTTTCGCTATAGGGCGCATGAACTCATCAGAAAGACAAGAGAGACAGAGAGACAGAAAGCGAGAAATCACCCCCCAGCTGGGATGGCCACGCCATACTCCCCTCTCCATTTTCCTCTCAGGATCTTGGGCATGCACGCACACGCACCTGGCATGAGTTTAAGCCACTGGGTCCAGGACTCAAACTATGGTTGACTACATGGGAGTCCAGCAATGTAGCCATTATGCTATTTGCTGGTCCCCATTTTGAATTTTTAAGATCTAAATCTTTTAATAAAATCCTCAAAGACTTTTTTGTGGAAATTGACAAATTGATTCTAAGTCACATGGAAATGCAAAGAATCTAGAACAGCCCAAACTAAAGATGAGTAACAGTTCTAAAAGACTCATATTACCTAGCTTAAAGACTCTAACTACAGGAATCTAGACAGTGTAGTATTGGCATAAAGACAGATCAGTAGAACAGAATAGACACACAGACACGGACAAATGCTTATTGGGAGTTTCAAAGGCAAGGTAGTGGACAAAGAATGGTACTGTAACTGGATTTTTCCATATGCCAAAGAGTGAACTTGGGTCTATACTTCATTTGGTGTACAAGAATTAACTTAAAGTACATCATAGACCTAACTTAAAACCTAAAACTCTAGCGGGACCTGCAGATGGTATAATGGTTACATCACTGGACTCCCACGTAATTGACCAAGGTTCCAGTCTCAGACCCAGCGACTTAAACTCATGCTGGGCACATGTCAAGCTTTTCAAGGTTTATTAGTGCATAGTTGTTCACAGGGCTCACAGAGCAGGACTCCAAGTCTGATACGCTTGCCTCTGCTCATACAGAGAGCAAAAATGCCTTTCATCTGCCGAATGCATCAAGTGACATAAACTAAAAAAAAAAAAAAAAAAAAAACTCTCTCAAGAAAACAAAAATAAAACCTAAAACTATAAAAGTTCTAGGGTAATGGATTAGGCAAAGCCCATCAAAAGCACACTCCATGAATGAATAAAGTAGTTATTGACTTCATCAAAATAAAAAACCTGGGCCAGCAAGTGGCATGGTGGTTAAAGGTGCTGGACTCCCACATGGCTGACCATGGTTCAAGTCTCGGACCTGGTGGCTTGCATGCTCGCTTCCTCTCTCTCTCTCTGTCTCTCTTGGATCAAAAAATAAATAAATAAATAAAAATAAAATAAATAAAAAACCTCTGTTTTTTCAAAGACATTGTTAAGAGAATGACAGCATAAGGCAAAGACTAAGAAACTTTCTGCCAAACTTGTGTCCAGAAGACAAAAAGAACTCTCAAAATTCAGTAAGAAAACAAACAGTTCAATTTCTTTTTTTTAAGAGAGATTTTTGCTATAGGATGCATGTACTTGCTGGAGAGATAGAAAGCCAGAAATCACCCGCCCCCCCAGGGGTGATAGCCACTCCACAATCCCTTCTCCTCCATTCTCCTCTCAGGATCTTGGGCACACAAGCACACACACCCAGAATAAGTTTTAAGCTGCCGGGTCTGGGACACAAACTATGGTCTATTACATTGGAGACCAGTGATGTAGCCATTACACCATCTGCTGATCACCAAGCAGTTCAGATTTTTTAAATGGGTTAAAAAAATTTTTAAGATAGTTTACTAAGGAAGATTAGACAGGTGGTTAAAAAAAAAAGCACATGGGACCAGCAGTTAATGTAATGGCTTTGTTGCTGGACTCCCGCAGTTCAAGTCCCAGACCTGGTGGTTTAAACTCACACCAGGTGTGTGCGCGTGCATGCCCAAGATCCTGAGAGGAGAATGGAGGAGAAGGGACTGTGGTGTGGCCATCCCCCCTCGGGGGTGATTTCTTGCCTTTTGTCTCTCTGTCTCTGTCTTTCCGGCGAGCACACGTGCCAAATAACAAAAACCTCTCAAAAAAAAAGAAAAAAGAAAAGCACATGAAAAGGCATTCAGTACCATTAGTCATTAGGGAAATGCAAATCAAAGCCATAAGGAAATATAACTATACCTTCCTCGTGCACTGATTTAAATTTAAGACTGACCATGCAAGTACTGGAAAAGGTGAGGAGGAGCTGGAGTTCTCACCCACCACTGGTGGGAACACAGAATAATACAGCCACTTTGGAAAAATAGTGGAGTAATTTCTTTAGAATTTAAACATGCATCTACCATATTGATCTAGCCATTCCACAACTGGATACCTGCTCTATAGTAGTGACAGTAGAATTCCACACAGAGCCCTGGAGATGGATGTTCATAGCAGTGTTTATAATGGCCCCAAACTGGAAACAACTGATACTCATCAGCAGATAAGTGGATAAAGTAGCATAGCCATATGGTAGAATACTCCTCAGCAATGAAAAGGAACAAGTGCATATTATAACATGGATGGGTTTCAGAGTACTTATGTGGAGTGGAAGAAGCCAGCCAAAAAATTATATACTAGATGATTTCACTTACAAAAAATTCTAGAAAATACAATCTCATCTACAGTGACAGCAGATCTGTGGTTGCCTGGGGGTGACATGGGGCAGTCAAAAGGGGGCCATATACTGCAGAGGACACTGCGGGGTGATAGATGTACTTCCTGACTTAATTGGGTATAGCAGTGTGTCAGAACTTACCAGATTATGCACTTTCTGTGTAGGTTATTGGGTCACTTACACCTCAGTACAGTATAGCTGTAAAAAACATTTCAAAATAAATTATGACATTTGATGGCTTCATTGCTTTCTCAAGAGTTGTTTTGGATTTTTAGGATCTCAAAACTGTAATTGTACCTTAAGGCACATATAATAAATTATTGATACTTCCCATGCAAGTCTTTGAGGTATTATTTGTGAATTTCCCCTTTTATTTCTTGATCTTTTTTATCCAGAGAGTCGCCCAGGGCTGGGCTGCCGGGAGCTTGTCTTCAGAAACCTCTCCAAGATTCTTCCCGCCATCTGTCATGACATTACCGACTGGGTAGTGGGCACCAGGGTAAAGTCTGCGCAGCTCCTGCCAGTGCTGCTGCTTCATGCTGAGGACCACATCACGCAGCACCTTGAGATCTTGCTCAGGACCCTGCAGCAGGCGTGTGCCGACGAGGAGAAGGCTGTGGTCAGCGGCGTGAGTTGCCTCTTCTAGTCTTATCTGTGGAGCTATAACTGACAGATTGAGAAATTCAGCCTTTTGGGTATACCAATCTCCAAGTTAGGACAAACATGTACAGCCATATAACATCACCACAATGAAGATACAGAACATTTCTCTCACCCCAGGGTCTCCCAGCCTCTCCCCACAACCAGCTTCTAGAAACCATGACCTGTTTTCTGCACTTACAGATAATAGTATGTGAAAGGCAGATCCTTAAGCACTTTGGGACATATGATTCTTTGTGTGTTGCATAAATGTGTCATCTGTCAGACAGGGTCATGCATTAGGCTGTCTCTGAAGACCGGGCTGCTGACAAAGATGCAGGACTGTCTTGGGGATCTGTAAGCTTCAACAGGCCAGGGTTTTCTGAGGCCCTTCCACCCCTGTGGGGACTGGCTATGACCCAGGCAGTTTCTTGGATAGCCGCAGGCGTCCAGTGTGTGGTGTCCTAGGCTCTGACTCACTCCCCTCGCTGCTGGCTGGTGCTCCACCTCCACGCCTAAGCAGGTGAAGGTGGAGGTACCTGAGACTACTGGAACGCGACCAGTTGACACCTGTACTGACTATCATCACTGTCAAGACCTCCTGCCCAGCCCACAAGGACATGTCTTGATGCTCAGGAGAATGACCAAAACTTTTATTCAAGGTTCTAAATCAAAATACCCTCTTCACTTAAATCCTAGATCCATCAAAACCCTACTCATTGGCTTTATTTTTACTGTTATGAGTCATTGTTACTAACTTATAGTAAATGTTGTAGATTCCTCTTTAAAAATAAGCCATTATAAGCCTATTTACATATCATGTCTTCTTTTCTCAAAAATTATCAATTTGAAACTATCATATATCATATCATGTATCATATTTCTTACAGAATATAGCTTTAATTTCTAGATATCAGGTTTGTCACTAACGTGGCCAAACTTTGTACAGTTGTTTTTTTGTAAACCATATCTGTCCATACAGAACTTCCGAATTTCTACTTTTCTCACAGAAAGGGTGAGAGCCCCAGTCTAATTGCGTGAAGAATGAGAAGATTAAGTGGCGATAAGTATCAAGTGATCATTCTGTTAAATTGACTGGATTTCATAGAAATTTAAGATGCTTTTAGCCAAGTAGGCTCACCTTTTTTTTGGAGAGATTTTCACTGTAGGGCGCGTGTGCTTGCCAGACAGACAGAGAGAGACATAGAGACAGAAAGCGAGAAATCACCCCCCAGGGGGGATGGTCACGCCGCAATCCCTTCTCTTCCATTCTCCTCTCGGGATCTTGGGCATGCACGCACACGCGCCCGGCATGAGTTTTAAGCCACCGGGTCCGTGACACGAACCGTGGTCGACTACGTGGGAGTCCAGCGACATAGCCATTACGCTAACTGCTGGTTCCCGAAGTGGCAGAACTTTGTAGGCTGTGGTAAAGAGTTTACACTTTATTCCAGGTCCAGTTCTTTGGATATATCTGTGGAGACTCCATTTTGGCTGTAATCTGCTAAAATGTTTCTCTGAGAGCATTTTATATAACTTCTTATAAGCTATCAGTGAACTCCACGCTGCAATCCCTTCTCCTCCATTCTCCTCTCGGGATCTTGGGCACGCACGCACACGTGCCCGGTGTGAGTTTTAAGCCACCGGGTCCGGGACACGAACCGCGGTCGACTACGTGGGAGTCCAGCGACATAGCCATTACGCTAACTGCTGGTTCCCAGGTAGGCTCACCTTTGGAGAGAGGATGTGTTATAAAATTCAGGGCACTGACCCATGAGGGACATATTCTGTGTAAATTCCGTCAAAAACACTTAAAGCAGATTTCTCTGGAGTCCAGCGTGGGCCTGAGAGTATCAGTAAGTTTCTGAATTATACACAAAACATCTTGGTGGGTTTTGGAATTTTCTGGAGAACCAATCTAGTTTTGGTTTTCGTTAAATTTTCAGAGGAATTTGTTTCTCTTCAAAGCGTAAAGCCACTGCCCTAGGACACTGTACATCTCAGCACAATCCCTGAGGCTGCTGTTGTGGCTTCTCAGCACCTCTCCCCACGTCCGGCGGGCCACTGAGCCTAGCGAGGTTAGCTGGTTCTCAGGAACATGGTCCCGACACGTTGATGGTGGATTTGTGGAAGAAGGGGTCCCTGACTAGATAAGTTTGGGAAACATGAGTTTAAATAAGGTTAAGGTTTCTTTAAGACTTTCAAAGTTTGTAACATGCATTGCCAGCCTCTAAACAACACCTTGCCTCTCACTGATGTCACTTGGTTGAGCAGAGCATCTTTTGGAACCAGGGTTCCGTAGAAGGTGTCTGGGAAAGGATCCCAGCTTACAGACTTTGATGGGCACGAGCTCCTAAAACCCAGACAGGGCCATGTGGTAGGCAGCCTGTATGCTGAGGGGAGGAAGTTGTTGGGCACACTGGTGAGGGGAGGGAGGGAGTGTTCAGGAGTCGTGATCACAGAGACCTCAGCAGAAGGGTGGGTGGATGACCAGCGGGCCGAGAGCAGTCATAGGGACCGGGCTGCCTGGTTTTGACCATCCCTGTTCCCTCACAGTGGAGAACACAGATCTGTTGGCAGGAACACAGAACATTGTGGATGGAGAACAGAGGGGTGTGCATGAGAGAGACAGACAGACAGGAGGAGAATGAAAACTGGGCCAGAGAAATAGGGAGCAAAGGAGCAAGAGAGAGAGAGAGAGGGACAGAGACACAGAAAGAAAGAAAGAGAGAGAGAGAGAGAGAGAGAGAGAGAGAGAAAGAAAGAAAGAAAGAAAGAAAGAGAGAGAGAGAAAAACAGGAGAGAGAGAGATGAGAAAACAGTCTTTGGATGGCAGCGCCACAGAAGCCCCCAGCAAATCAGGACTGTGTGGTCTCAGTTCAGCCCCAGCTGTTCTGAGTCCTCTGCCCTCTGTGCTGTGGGGCTGTATTTAAAACTCCAGTAAGTAAAAGTTAGGTAGAGAAGCTAGACTATAGGTATGTTGAGTTTTGATTTTTTTTGGGTTTTTTGTTTGTTTGTTTGTTTGTTTTTCTTTCTCTCTGTCTATCTGTCGTTCTTCAGTTACAGAGTCCCAGGAAGTTGCAAAGGTGGTACAGAGACCCCGAGCCTTCACCCACCTACTTCTGCACTAATCTCACATCATAACCAGGAAATTGTCCCGTGCCATGTGTGGGTCTAGGCCCTCTATCACCCGTGTAGGTTCTTTTTTTTTGAGAGGTTTTCGCTATATGGTGCGTGCGCTCACCAGACAGACAGAGAGAGACAGAGAGACAGAAAGCGAGAAATCACCCCCAGGGGGATGGTCACGCCGCAGTCCCTTCTCCTCCATTCTCCTCTCGGGATCTTGGGCACGCACGCACACGCACCCGGCATGAGTTCTAAGCCACCGAGTCCAGGATGCGAACCACAGTCGACTACGTGGGAGTCCAGCGACATAGCCATTACGCTAACTGCTGGTTCCCCCATGTAGGTTCTTGTAGACACTATCAACCCCAATGGAGAGGCAGACCACCGCCACAGAGGTCTCTCGTGCCCTACTTCCTGGCACCCACTTGTCTGTTCTCCATCACTGTGATTAGGTCATCTTGAGGGTGTTTTATAGCTGGACTCACACAGGGTTTGGCCTCTGGGGATTGGCTTTTGTCATCCATCATGATGCCCCAAGATCGACCCTACTGGTTGCTTTTTATCAAGTTTTTCGTCTTTACTGATTGCAGGAGTTCACTGTGTGGAGGTGCCGGTGTGTGTTTATCCATTTATTAATGAGCCGTGTAGGTCATTGGTATCAGATGAGGCAGAAAACCTCACTGGGACAGAACCTTCCTGTGAGCCAGACCACACTGCCTTAAACATCATATGTTTTCTCTCCTGAGTCCCAAGAGACCACAGAGGACTATTTCTCATGGGTGTTCTGAGCTCATGCGAGAACACACTTTCTCATGGGACTGTTTCTGATGGGCACCAGCCCTACAGAGTGGGTGCTGAGGTGCTGAGAGCAGAGAGAAGCAGGTGGCAGCTGGGGTCTGTTTGCAAAACTCCCTCATTTTTCCTATGTTTTTCTTTTGCAGTGTATGAGATCTGCAGAGCTAATTGGGACGTTTGTTAACCCAGAAGTATTTCTGAAGTTGATCTTACCGATGCTGAGGAAGTCACCCTCCCCATCTGGCCTCTTGGTTCTTGCTTCGGTCATTCGAGGCTGCCCCCGAGAAGCCCTCCAGCCACACCTGGAGGTCATCGCCACAGAGCTAGCCCAGGCGCACATCTGTCAAGGGTCTGAAAATGTAAGATTGTGTGGGAAAGGGTGGAAAGCAGAGAACATCCTGAAGTTGAAGATGGAAGGAGGCTTCCCCTACCAGATGCTGTCTAGGCATCATTATGGAAATTATCAAACAGTCCAGATCCACAGGCCCATCAGAAATACCCTGGGGTAGCCCAGGTGCTGGGTGGACAGCCTCTTACTGAGGAGCCTCATCCCGCTCTGTCCAGTGCTGTGGCACAAGCCACAGGTGGCCACTTAAATGAAAATGTCCCTTTCTTGGTGTGCAGCAGGACATGTAGCCAGTAGCCTGCCGGGCAGCACAGGATAGAATACGTTTGTCATGAGGACAGTTCTGCATGTGGTGCCTTGAGCTGTCCCAGGCTTGCGGAGGACGCAGGGTCAGCGAGGCGGCCGTGCACATCTCAGTGTGTGGAGGGGCGGTCAGGAGCCTGCCTGCCCTCTATTGGCTGAGTGCACTGGGCGCCGGTGGCTCCTGAGTGCCGTCAGGAGCTCGTCTCTACCAGCATCACTTCACATCCTACCAACATGCCTGACATAACAAACCTGCTGATTTGCCAGACAAATTTGCATGATTTTAAATTGAGCAGTAAATCTATTACATCTGAAACAAACATTCCCAGGTAGCTGGGCTTAATCATCTGGAATAATTTATAATTGTTTTCTGTTCAAGAAAAAATAATGACTTTATTTTTGTTGGGATGTGATAGGCTTAACCTCCGTTGACTCATACGTTGGATTATACACCTCACATCTTTCTGTAAAGGGCATTGTGGTCTGCCGTAGCCACTCAGCCCTACTAGGAGGCTGGCATTTGCCCCACTGGGTTGTTTTTGTTTGTTTGTTTGTTTTTAGCAACTGTTATGTCTACTATGCTGGGCCAAAGAGAGGCTGGTGACTGCTGTGTCCCTGGCCCATGACACGAGCTCTGCATTCAACTTGTCTCTAGTCATCTACTAAGATCCTTCTTCTGCCCTCAGAATGAGAGGGTGCGACAGTTCACAATCATGTTAAAAGCCATCTGAGGGGCCTACTGTTGCTGTCGTGATTAAAGCAGCTGGATCCCACATGGCCAACTGTGGGACTGGACAGCTTCAAAGACACTCTGGGCTTGTGCGCATCTGTGTGTGTCCAAAATCCCCCAAGGAGGGAGAGATGGAGAAGGGATTGTGGTGTGACCTCCCTTTGGGTCTACTTTCTCACATGCCCTCATTCATTCTCTCTGTCTCTCTCTGGCTAGTGTACACGCCCTTTAGCAAAAAACTTTAAAAACTTAAGAAACTTGTAAGATAGTTTCTAAAGTACACAGAGGGGAAAATAGAGCTGAAGTCTCAGAAAAGAAATGTGGGAAGGCTGACAGCCTATGGTGTTTTCAGCCACATTTTAATCTTTCCGAAAACCCATTTTTACGATAATCACTGAATCTACATAAGTTCTTCATTTCTACTCACAAGTGTTTCAGCAGATCATTTTAATTCCTATGCATGAATTTGTTAAACCAGAAGTAGTTTTTTCCCCCAGGAAAGTATAACTAAAATTTTGTGTAGGCGGTTAATATTATATCTTAAAAATTTCAGAGCAAAGAAAATATAGCTTTCATATCTTAATGTTGGTTACAGAAAAATTTAATTATATACTCCATCAAAATCAGATTGTGCGTTTGGTTCTTCATCTTCCAGTTTTGTTAAAGAAACTTTTAACTTGATCTTTTAAACAAAGACCTTTTTCTGATGGTCCAGTCACACATAAGGGTCCTTCCATAAAGCCAGCCCTTCTTCCTTGCAGTGTGCAAATGTTTTCTAGCCCTTCAGCAGGCCAACAAGCCAGTCATAGTAAAAACCAAGGATATACATTCTTCTACTTTCTTAGCACACTTACATTTTTAGCAAAAAGGATGAACACATTTAGGTCTTGGTCAAAGTTATTTCTGTTTCCAAGTTGATTATAATGGTGTGTTCTTTTCCACAGCAAGGAGGGAGTTTACATACTTTGTCTAATGTCATTTGGGAAGAAGTTTATGTTTCTTAAAATTAGTCTTCAGTGGCTTATAAGAAAAGATTAAGAACATCTGTCAAGAACAAACAAAATTTAAAAAACCCTGTGTTAAACAGAACAAAGAAGCCCATGAAGATGTATTCTGAACTGTGAATCTGACTTGACACCCCCCCCCCTTTTGTGGTTAACAGAGAGTCTGGTTTTTTAGTAAAAGGTACTTTCCCAGGTGTGTTGGGCCAAGCGTTGCACCTGGAGCTTAGCTGAAAGGAACTTGATCCTCTTCTTTGAAATATGTTTAGTGACAGGTAACTGAAATGAGGAAATTGTGTGATAACATAAGGATAGCTCTTCTATTCCTGTTTAACTAAAGAAAACAAGATCAGCGATATTGCTGCCATTGCTGAAATATGAAAGTCTCTAGCACTGTATCTAGTAAATTAGAATTTTTGCAGTCTCACATAACATTGTTTCAGAATGAGAAAGCATTGAGTATCATTTCCTGTTGTATTTTTTTTCTGTGTGTGTGTGTGTGTGTGTGTGTGTGTGTGTCTGTCTGTGTGTAGGCAGACACTGAAAATTCTCTAGTTAACCTGCCAATGTTATAGTGTTGTTATTTTCTCCGAGACATTGTCAAATTCATAGCAAGACATTGATACTCACTGTGAGGGACACATTCTTCATGGGCTCCAGTGTTCAAGTGTGTAATGAGACAGCTCAACAGAAAATAAGAGCAGCAGGATCTTTTAAAAGTGCATTCCCTTTTATTTTAATTAAACTCAAGTGATTGCCCCTTGAGTTTATATTATAGGTCATTATAGAAATTAAACCTATAATCATATCATCAGAAATCAATCAGTTAATCCAGGCCTTAAAGGGCTGTGGGAGAGTTCAGATTGGAATCAAAACAGCTCTGTTGCTTCTCCGGGTGGTTGGGATGTCCATGGTCACAGCCCGACTCTTCAGGTGGGGTGGGGCCATCTCATCCTCCAAGGCAGCTGGATGCACCGTGGTTTGCACCTTCTGTGGTTTAGGGTAGGGTGGGGGTCTGAAGATCTGTGTCACTGCTGGATGAGTCCCCTACAGTGTATGCCTGCCATCTTCCAGGCCATGGGTCTCATCCAACCACCTAGCCCCCATTGTGTAGTGGACTGGGATGAGCCAGGAAGAGAAGCGGCTTGACCAACCCAGCCCTGGTTCATAGTGACGACATCACCCTGTCATCCCCATCAGTCAGGAAGTGTATTTTATTCAACTGTAGAATTTTATTTATTCTTGTTGAAACAATATTCTAGACATACTTAAAAATTCACGAAAGTAGGAAAAATACTGAAGCGCCACATACCTACCACCTGGCCCAATAATGACCAGCCCTTTTACTTTCATAATTTATCTGCCTTGTGCCATTTTCTGACTTTGGAGAGAATAGGGAAGCTCTGGGAAATTTTAAAGCAAATCCAAAATATGCTGTCATGTCACATGTTAAGTACTTCAGCGTGTGTCACAAACATGCAACTGCGTTAAACCTAACCAAAGCACCATTCAGCATTTCACAAAATACGTGTGAAGTCCTTCATTCCCAGTCGGTGTCCTGTGGGCCCCAAATGCCCAGTTTATGGCTGATATGCTCCACTCAGTGGCCAAGTGTCTATCGTCTCTTCCTCCATAAGAGCCTAGACTGTCGGAGCATGGCCTTGTCAACCTGGTGCTGGGGGTGCTGGAGTCCAGGAGGGTGACGCTTCTGTTCTCTCTCCGCAGGACCTCTACCTGGAGCACTTGCTGCTCTGTGTGCAGGCCCTGGTGTCAGTGTGTGGGGAGGACTGCAGCAGGGCCAGCCTGCAGCTCATGGAAGTGCTGGTGACCATAATGGCTGTCTCTGGTGCCGCCAGCCTGGGTGACAAGGTAAGACTGATAGAAAGGTCCCGCTGTGCTGCATGGCCTGGTGGAGCTTATACCCAGAAAGACATCTCTCTCTAAATAAAATGTAACTACCTTCCATAAATCTCTGCACTTGAATTACAGGCCTCGGGCGAGCCTGGCTCAAATTGACTAGCAAAGATGAAAGAATTCAGAATATTTAGGATGAGTCATTTATGAGGTAGCCTTAGGGGTATCCCCTCCAACCGCCAGTGTATTCTAGTATCTGAGAGCGAAGACAGCTATGTAATCTTGGGGTCTGTGGCAAAGAAGCAAATGTGAAATGAGAGCATCGTAACCTTTAAATCTGCACATTGAGTGGGATTTTAAAAAATACATACATGTGACTAAAGGTATGGAGAGGAAATAATACCATGGCTTTCCCACTTTGATTGTAGCCCAGCTTTACACAAGTTTCTGTCCCATTGACTCTCCATTTATGATTGTAAATCTTTTAACCCATGGTGTCCAAGGGTCAGCTGTGACCCAAGGGGTCCCCCTGCTTCTCTGAGAACTGAGTACTTGGTTTTCCATATAGTTCTCTTCCCCCACAGCCCTCGAGTGGCTTTTCTCTGGAGATGTATGCAGCCTGGGTGATCCGAAAAGAAGCTCACATCAGGGAGGCTCATGGTCCCCCCTCTCCTTCCTTGGAGCCTCTTTAAACTTTGTTTTATTTCTCCTTTTAAAAACAACCTTTCCAAAGGGTATACATCTTAGCAGACAACTTGTCACTGATGGGACCATAAATACTAGCAGAAGCGGAATCTGCAGTGCCTGCCAGCGACAGGGAAGGAAACCAGGCAGCCAGCAGATTGCAGGAGAGTCTGCAAAAACAGACCCGAGGCCACCGGCACCTGCCATGAGGGAATCTCGAGGACTTCCTAATACTTTCAAGCCCCAAGGGGAAAAGCACAGGTTAAAAGGTGGCTGGCCGCTTTATCGTTTAATCATCCTCACCCTTTGTTCTCCCCCCTGAGCAGTCTCCGGAGTTATTTGTACCTTGAGGTCTGGTCAGGGTGAGAGAGCTAAGCAAAGGAGGGTGAGGATGCTCCCTGGTAAACACAGTCTCTTTGTTCAGTTTGATTCTTTAGTGCCACTCAGCCACCCTTCTTGGTCTGGAGGCCGGGCCCCAGCTGATGTCGAGCAGCAAGCAGCTTCTCACTCTCACATGGCTCATCCACCAGGCTGTGCACAACCAGGGAGCCCTGGCAGTGAATCTGGTGGTGGACACACTTTGTATCTCCATCATGTGCTGTACAAACAGCAGCGACACACACGGGAACGCAGCCTTGGCGCTGAATCTGCAGCCTCACTCAGTGAGCTCTTGGGAGGGTGTCCGTTCTGCAGCGCTCCCCTCCTGTTAAATTTCAAATTTAGCCTCATTTTGGCCGATCTTGGACCCGAGTGGCTCTTACCCTCCATGGTGAATGAATCTCCATTAGAGATTTTTGAACCTTGAAAATTGGAATTATCCCAACCTTCAGCTTGTGGCTTCTAGGCTCAGGAGACCATGGACTTGCTCGCCACCGTGGAACAGGTCAACGGCAGCCTGGACCTCTACCGCAAACACATGGGCTCTCTCATGGAGTGGGTGACTGCGTCACACCAGGACTGGACTGTGCACTCTGCCGAACTCATGCAGTTCAGCATCATCGTCACTCAGTCAGGTGAGGCCCTCCCGACGGCCCCTTGGACTCAGTCTGCAGCAGCTGGTCACGTGGGATTGTGCTGTCTTCTTTCTCATAAACCTTAAAGAGATTTTCAGCATGTACCTGAAATACAGGAAGCTAAGCTATTTTTTTTGGGGGGGGGAGGAGGTTTTTGCTGTAGGGCACGTGCACTCACCAGACAGACAGAGAGAGACAGAGAGATAGAAAGCGAGAAATCACCCCCCAGG